TGTTGCAAAACATCAGAAAATGCTTGAGAAAACCATATAAAGATACGGTTCTATCACTCCCCCATACTTGAACCTTTATACTCCTGGACAAAGATTTGAATCATTCTAAAGAAAGTACAGGCACAATCAAGGAAACCAGTATGTTCAAAAGTGATCTCAAGAACTAAATAATCAACACCCCTTAGGAAAACAAAAATGATAAAATGAATAATGCCAAGTAATTAGATACACAGTGCAAACTTCCTACCATAAGCTTGTAATAACTCTAAAATCTCCACTACTATTCAACATTTATGTTAGGAATCAAGAGGGCTTTTAGGGTTGTAGTGATGGAAAGGCAAAATAGAATGGAAATGTGGTGAAACTGAGTGTCAAGAATGAAAGTAACATGAGTCAAATATCATCTATTCTTAAACAAAGAAGTTCAGATCCTAACCTTCTACCACCAAGGGAATACTTTGTTTAATTTTATTTTGTTGCTATAGCTTAAGTTTGTAAATATGTCCCCTTTTTTTTCACTTTTATTTTCTTTTTGTCTTTCTTCTTTCTTCTTCTTTTCACTTTTTTTTCCTTTCAAATTCAAAATGATATTCTCAAAAAAGACCCATGAAGGCTAGGAAATCTCAAATGTAAAGATGAAATAAACTCAAGTGAAAATTGTAGCTTAAACACTCAAAATATGAATTAAATAAAGGCGGTCAAGGATCAAAAGGGTTGAACAATGGATAAATGTTTGTGGATTGTGTTTGGGTAAAAAGGTGTAGAAAAAAATGCCTCTATCATATTCAAAAATCATAATGCGTATGTAATTTTGACCACGAGCTAAGACAAGTTCAAGAGGATGCAAACCAATGAATAATCACTCAATTTAGGAATTAAGGCTCAAGAATATCCTTCCAATAAAGGTTTCATATCTCAGATGCTCATACACAAAGTTTTAATAAACATGTGTTAGTCACAAAGCATTAGGTCATGTATCATAAAAGAGAACCATAGGATGATTATTAAAAAGATCAAAATAATCACTTGAGAACATACTTGGATCTTAAAGGTACCCATAAAGTCTTAGAGAAGTCATTTTCAAAATCCAGAATTCTTAAAGACTCAAGAATGGCATGTTTTTTTTTTTTTGAAAAAGCTGTTTGATGCAATAAGGTTAGATTACAAAGGCAATGATTTTGCTTTAAAAATGTGCAAAAGTAGCTTAAAAAGGTTCCTTCTATACAGCATTGCACAAAGCAAAGAGAAGGAATTGGATGCACAGAAATGGCTCCAGGTCATGACCTGAAATCAATGAAGACGCGACTTGAAGTCACAGAAAGCATCAAGTTAGGAAAGAAGGTTGAAGTCGTGACTTAAAATCAGTAAGGTCACAGCCTGAAGTCACAAAAAGCCCTCCATTATCAAAACTACAACTCAAGTCATGACTTGGAATAGTGAGGCCACGACCTGAGGTCATAAAATGTAACCAACAAAAATTTTTTCAAAGCTTAAGCAATTTCAACCAGCACAACCTTTCCACTAAGCACAAAATAGTCAAAGATGATCCAATTCGTAGCAATTCACCATCTAAAATCAATTCAAAGCCAAAGAATGATGATGAAAGATTAGATATCGAAAAAGATTTTATAAAAAAAATTTGCAAAAAATTTGAAGCAAACACAGAAACCGCGTAACACTGGCAATGCAACAATGCCAAGTAAACCCCTCCCCTGTACGTAAACTTGACAGTGTCCTCACTGTCAAAGGGAAAGGGACAAAGAACAGTAGCAACCACAAAATAAGCTTAGAAAACCAAACATTCATTGCAATAAAGTTTGAATACACCAAAGTTAAACTTTTAAGTACAAAGTTTTTAGGACAGAGCAACAAAACAAGGGAACAACTTAAAAACAAAAGACCTAAGCAGAAAAGCTCTCAATCTTCTTCTTCTCTTCTCTCCTCTTCTTCTCCAACATCCTCCCCTCCCCTTCAGTAGCAGCGGCTGTGGCACCAGACGACTGCCCCAGATCCCTAATGAAATAGCTCGTGGTAGGAATAGAACTCTGCTAAAAGGCTTGCTCATAACCTAGAGGGAAAGTGATCTTTTGAGCTCTGGCCATTTCCAGTATTAGAGGATCCATGAATCTTTGCCTTCTGCACTCCTTGGCCATAGCAATAGCCCTCTCTCTTAGAGTTCCCCACTCAGAATAGTCACTTGCTGATTGAGGGCCACAATCTGCTCACTTAAGGAGTCGAGGGTGAAACTTGAGCCACCCTTAGCTGCCTCCTCTTCTAGATCCTCCTCTATCCTCCTCTTTCCTCTCTTCTTAGCCCTGTTGGAATTTAAGGTGATGTAGCATCTAGTAGTGATAGGTTCCAAGGTAAGGTCAAACTTGCTCGTTGGTATCCCCTTTACTGCACACATATCAGTGGTTAAGTACGAGAATACCAAGAGAGTCCAGACATTGTTTGCCCTCTTCAGAGACATCAGAAATATAGGTTGCTAGCATCAAATTGTAAGGCATGAAGTTGAGCCAAATCCTAGCCTCATCATTCATGTTCTTACGCTAAAAATAGTTTCGCCCACTCTCTTTGACAGTTCCACCAGCTCCCTCAACTTTGATGGTTTGAAAAACCTCATTCCAGGGGACTTCATCAAGTCAGGTCTTCAGATGCTAGAACTTGCAGCGAGGAACATCAAGCAGCTTGTAGAAAGCCTCAATAGCAGGCTAGCTGAAATAACACTCACTTCCTCTGAAGCTGATCCCCATTCGACCATCCATGGCAAAGCAAGCATAGAATTCCCTCACCAAAGTCAAATTAACCTTGTTCCTCTTCTTCATAAGCTCCCCCAAGCCTCACGCCTTGGCGAGCTTGTAAAAGTCGTACTCGTTGGTTTCTAGAAAATACCGCTCTTACACCACCCCTATTTGTAAACATTTTTACCACTTCCTCTCTTGAAAGTTGGGTCTCCTAGCGAGGGTGAGCCCTCCTGGAAGCTTTGGGGTTCTTTATGCCTGGCATCTGAGCATAAGGCAAACACGTAACAAAAACCAAAATAAACACACAAACCAAACAATCCTAAGCAAAAGAAACTAATGCCTATACTAAGCCTAGAAACCAAGCACTCCCCTACACTAAGCCTACAGTTATCCCTTGTCAGAATTACTTTGGAAAAAATCTTAAAATTTAGATTGGAACACTTGCAATTTAAAACCATTAGGAAAATCATGTTAAAACCTAAGTCTTTCTAACTTTTCAACTGCCCAAAACCAAATTCTTAAAAAAGCCATAACAAGTAGAGTCAAAATCCATTGAGAATTTTCAGTTTGTAAACAACAAGGGTGAATCAGAAGTTCAAAGGCTCCTCTGTGACCTCAGGTTGCGACCTGAGCCCAGAAATTCAGAAAACACAGAATTCAATTAGTTCATTCAGAAACTAAACTTTTGTAGTATATATGATCCAAACCAGTTACAAAGCCAATTTAATAGCAGTCTAAACATTAATTCCAAACTCCACTCAATCAAAATCAAAACCCTAACAGGAGCAACACTAACTAACCCTAGAAAAACACAGAATTTGAAACCTTAAACTAGAAAAAAAACAACAAGAAAATAGAGTAAACCTTGAGAGAGTGGAAGGATGGAAGAACTGCACTCAAGAGAAGGCTTAATTTCAAACTGCAAGAGGGAAATTCTAAAGGTAGTAAGGTAGTGGTGCTCAGGCACAAAAGAGAGATTAAAGTTTGGGGGATTAAGGACTAGAGGAGAGGCAAACCTTTATGAGGAGTGGAGCAGTTTCAACTTGGAGAGAAGCTAAAAAGAGGCAGTTACATTGAAGGAGAGGGGAAGTTGCAACTTGGAAGATGGAAATGTCGTGGAAGGAGAGAAGACCTAGAGGAAGGATTGGTTTAAGGTGTGTGATTTTACTAGAATGGGTTAGGGTTTTGAGTCTTTGGGATGAATAAGGCTAGAATCCAGGGCAGGTTCAAGGGGCAAAATGGTAATTAGGGTGAAAACAAATAAGGGTAGAGAAGTGAATTCGTAAAAAAACTCCTGACTTTTCTTGTCAGGTCGCAACCTGAGAGAGTTCAGATCATGACTTCAGCAGACAAATGGGGATTTAGGGTTTCAGAAAGGCTCCAGGTCACAACCTAAAACAGTGAGGTCACAACGTCAACTCATAGAGAGCCTTTACCCAGTTTTTTCCCCAAGTCGTGACCTGAGATAGTGAGGCTGTGACTTCAGTACAACGAGAGTTCCTCTTCTTAGACTAACCTCCAGGTCACGACATGAAGACAGTGAGGTTGCAACTTGGGATTACAGAGTGCCCTCTGACTCTCTAAACCCTGAAAAACCTCAAATCTAAGTCCCTATATGAAAACCACTCACCAAAATACCTATCATAACAACCAACTCAGCAATCCATTGCTAGATTTTTAACAATTCAATAGAAAACTCAAAAACAAGTGATGGAAGATTGGGAAAAACTTTCAAAGGTTTCAAAAACTTTTAAAATTTTTTGGCAAGTTTCAGCAAGAACCACTCATAACAAGGAATAACCTAACAAACAAATCACCAAACCACTTTTAAGCTCAATAGAAATAGAAACCTTTCTTCCCCACACACTCAAAGCAATGTCCTCATTGCAGCACACAGTTACATACCAAAACACAAAGCTCAAAAACAAAAACAATGAAGGTGAAAGTTGTGAAGTTTAATTCAGGATTAAAGCATAAAACATCACCCTTCTAGAGAGGAAAAAAAAGCTAAGTGCAAGTATGGGAAAACTCAAGAATGCAAAGAAGTGTGTGGTGGTGATAGAATAGAAGTATAATCACAATCATATCCAAATCAAAGCTAGGGGAGATTATTCAAAACAAACATAACAAACAAAATTAAAAAGACTATTTCTACTGAGGACATCCCTTTTACAGTCTCAAACAGTCTAGCAAGAAAATGTAGGCACAGGTTAATTCATGTGAAAAGTAAGAGGTAAAGGAAAGGGATGACCTGCCTTAAGAAGGTGGTGCGGGCTCTCTATAGAGCTTGAGGAGATGACCATTGCATTGGAACATCTTACCCATGGCCTTCTCCTTCAGCTCTATCATCTTGAAGTCATGCACTTTCGTCACAATGTAGGGTCTATCCCAGCTCATCTTGAATTTACCCTTCTTGAACTTGAATCGAGCTTTATACCTCAATACCTTATCACCCTCCTTAAACCTTTTCCTCAGGATGTTGGCATCGTGGATGATCTTAGTCTTTTGTTTGTAGATGTTTGAGTTATGGTAGCCCTCTAACCATATTTCTTGAAGTTCTTGAATTTGAAGAAGTTTGTTCAGTCCAGCTTCCTTAAGATCAGTGTTGCAGGTCTTGACTGCCCAATACAATCTATGCTCAAGCTCCACCGAGATGTGACATGACTTCCCATAGATGATTTGGTATGGAGACATGTCAATTGGTGTCTTGTAGGCAGTGCGATAGGCCCATAGTGCATCATCCAACCTCAAGTTTCAGTCTCGGTTGGATGGCTTGGCAATGCGCTCCAGAATTCTCTTGATCTCTCCGTTTGACACCTTAGCTAGCCCATTGGTTTGAGGGTAGTATGGGGTGGACACTCTATGATAAACCCCATATTTAGCCAATAAGTTAGTGAGCAACTTGTTGTAGAAATGGGTTCCCTGATCACTAATTAAGACCCTCGGTACACCAAATCTACTGAAGATAGTAGACTTCAGAAACTTAGAAACTGTAGGTGCATCATCTTTTTGTGTGGGGATGGCTTCTACCCACCGAGAAAGGTAATCTATGTTTAGGAGGATGTAGGTATAGCCATGAGAAGGTGGCCCCATGAAATCTATCCCCCAAGCATCAAAGATCTCACAAAAAAGAATAGGTTGCTGCGGCATCTCATTTCTTTTACTCAGCCCCCTAAATCTTTGGCATTTATCACATGCCTTACAATAATTGAATACGTCTCTAAATAGGGTAGGCCACTAAAAATCTGCACCTAGCACTTTCCTAGCCATCTTCCTAACACTAAAGTGTCCCCTACATAAGGTGTCGTGGCAAGCTTCTAAAATGGCTCCGGCCTCTACTTCACAAATGCACTGTCTAATCACTTGGTCAGAACATAATCTCTGTAGATTTGGTGGATCCCAAATATAGTAGGAGGCTTCACTCTTAAGCTTCTGAATCTGAAGAATAGTCAAGTGAGAAGGGATTATACCTGTAGCAAGATAATTGACTAAATGGGCAAACCATGATTAAGAAACAAACAATGCACATAAAGACTAATCAGGGAATGAATCACAAATAATATCAGAACCTAATACTCCCCTTATCTTTAGTGGTAGTCTACTCAAATGATCCGCTACATGGTTTATGTTGCCAACTCTGTCTTTCACTTCCACATCAAATTCTTAAAGTAGCAACATCCACTTCAAGAGCCTCGGCTTCAATTGAGGTTTGTGGAAGAGATATTTTACCGTTGCGTGGTTTGTAAACACAACCACTTTAGAATTTATGAGATAGGGTCTAAACTTCTCAAGTGTAAAAACAATTACAAACAATTCCTTTTCAGTACTAGTGTAGTTTCTTTGAGTTGCATCTAAAGTTTTAGAAGTATAGGCAATTACCTTAGAAACAGAATTCTCCCTTTGACCCAACATTGCCCCCACACTTATGTTTGAAGCATCACAAGAAATTTTGAATGGCAATTCCTAATTGGGTGAGGTTAAAATGGGAGGAGTAACTAACCTATTCCTCAATTCATCAAAAACAAGCTCACATTTATGGTTAAATTGAAAATCAACATCTTTTTGTAGCAGTTTGTAAAAAGGTAGAGCAATTTTACTGAAATCCTTGATAAATATTCTATAAAACCCTATATATCCTAATAAGGACCTCAACTCTTTCAAGTTGGTAGGATAGAGCAAAGAAGAAATCACCTCAAGTTTGGCTTTATCTACCTCTATTCCTTTATAAAAAATCAAGTGTCCTAACACGATGCCATAATCAACCATGAAATGGCATTTTTCATAATTTAAAACAAGCTTTTTCTCAATGCACTATGCTAGAATTTTATCAAGACTTTTCAAGCACTCATCAAAGAATTGCCATAGATAGTAAAATCATCCATAAACACATCTATGCATTTTTCAATAAATTCAACAAAAATGGATAACATGCAATGTTGGAATGTGCTAGGGCCATTACAAAGACCAAAGGGCATTCTTTTGTAGGCACAGGTTCCAAATAGACAAGTGAAGGTAGTCTTGTCTTGGTCTCTAGGGTCTATAGGAATTTGGAAATACCAGGAGTACCCATCTAGGAAATAGTAGTGACTCTTCCATGCTAACCATTCAAGCATTTGATCAATAAAAGGTAAGGCAAAGTGGCCTTTCCTAGTGGCCTCATTTAGCTTCCTATAATCAATGCAAACTCTTCATGAGTTTTGCACCCAAGTTAGGATGAGTTCATTATTCTCATTTTTGACAACTATGATCCCACTCTTCTTTAGCATGACTTATACCGGTGACACCCACTAGCTATTAGAAATAGCGTATGTAATTCCAGCCCTCAAAAGTTTGTTTGGCTCTTTTCTAACCACATCAGAGATTAGGGGATCCAGTCTCCTCTGGTTTTGTTTAATTGGCTTGAAACCCTCAGTTAACAAAATTCTATGGGTGCAAATAGTATAATTAATTCCCTTAATATCAGCTAATTGCCAACCCAAAGCCTCCCTATTTCTTCTAAGTAGGCTCATCAAACTAGACTCTTCACTTTCAGTTAAAGAACTAGAAATAATAACTGGCAATTCATTTCAGCATCAAGATGAGCATACTTAAGATTAGGGGGTAAATCTTTAAGTTCCAAAGTTGGGGGTTGGACAATAAAGGGAATTAGAGTAGGAAAATCAATAGAGTTAAAGAAACTCCCCTTTGTTGACTCTTGAGAAGTGCACTTGTCAACCTCATTTGAATCTATTACACTCGTCTCAGCTCCCTTAGATATTGCACCAAGCTCAAGTTGGTCTACAATAGCAACAATCTTGGGTTGGCTCACCTCCATACCTAAATTATTATTTGAGATTAGATCATTCAAGAATCACAAAGTATAGCATGTAATTTTAGAGTGTGAATGATTTAGAGTTGAGTCAAAGAGTGTTGGCCCTTTAACCAAAGTCTCCAAGACATGAGATGGTGAAGCAATTGAAGTCTGAAGTTTAGTAGGTAAAACAAGAGGCTCAGGTCACGACCTCATATACGTAGGTTGTGACCTCACTTCACAGAAGCTACCTTCTTTACAGGCTTAGTCTGAAGTCACGACCTGAAATTCCTCAGGTCCCAACCTCAGGTCACAGAGGCTTGGTTCCTCAGATTTTACTCCACTTTTAGCATCCATCATATCTTAAATATCCGTATCATTAGCTAACAGACCCCTTCCTAGGGCAACATCATTTATGAATGCAGAAATGGAATTAAAATTTGAAGAAAAAGAAAAATCTTGGGAAATAGAAAGTATGCTATCAATTTCTAAAGAATTAATGCATAGCACCTCATCTCCACAAGAACTAGAAAATGAATAAATGTAAGAAAAGAAATTGAAATATTCATCATATGCACTGAAAGACAAGTCAAGCTCATAAGATTCATGTGATGGTGCAGCAGAAGAATCAATCAATTTAGGTGAACTCATGTCATAACTGTTATGCATATTCAACTTATGCTCATCCCTAACTTGCTCAACAGCTAAATCAATAGCATTCAAACCCATGAATGTAGAATTATCAAAGGGATAACACATAGCTTCATTCATATTAAAAGTTACAATATGGTCTCCTGTTACACCTTACTATCGTATCGTCTTAAGATTCAATTAAAACCATCTTAGATCACATTGGATGGTCTTGGGCTCAATTCTATCTCAAAAAACACTAATTTTCGGATTTCCACTATTCACGGGTAAAAATCCAGTTTTCTAGCCCAAATTCAAAAATTCATAACTTAATCTACAAAAATCGAAATAGAGTGTTTCAAAATTATATAAAAAGATCTTTGAATGATATTTCAGGAAAAATAGTCTTGTGAACCAATTCCATTGGAAAAAGCATCAGGTTTTTGTGAAATTCATCTCTATCTATTAGACAAAAACCCTTTTTCCAGATTCTGAACCTTAAATTTGAAAAATCATTAAAAATCGTGTATTTGGCCATTTTTAATGTGTTAGCTATCCAAATGAAGGTCAGAACGCGATCTACAAACATGCCAAATTTTGTAATTAAATGCATTTGGAAACTTAATCAAAATGTCATGTAAAGGTGGTGGTGTCAGTGAATTTACAGCACTGCCCAACATAATATTACATAACCCAAAAGTCCACGAATTTTTATGGTATGATACCATAATTTTAACCTACAATCTGCAGCTTTCCCTTGGATGTTTTAGGTTCTAAAATGTTAGATTGCATTTGGGGAATGAGATTTCATTGAAATCCCAATAGCAAATTAACCAACTATATTGTCAACAAGCATCATCATCATATATAATTACATTAACTGCTATTGGTGAGCTAGCATGCTTATCATTTGAAAAACTCAATCATGCAAAGGCCAAAGCAAGAAAGTACAAAGAGCAGCCACATTACAATCAAGAAAGTTCATCCACATAATAGCAATTAATCATGCAATAATCAATAATGCTAAGTCAATGTTAGTAGTTAGGTTCAACTTGCTACCTTGCTCCAAAAGCTTGAGTTTTCTTTGTTTCTCTTCTTCTCCTTTACAAATATCAAACCCTAGCATGGCGTTCCACTAAAAAGGGAAGCAAGAGTCATTAATCAAACCAAGCAAAAGCAAGAACATAACTTAAACATAACTCTTGCTCTTTAAAGCTTCCATCTTTGTTCTTTCATTTATGACCTTTGGTTTTCCATAACCCTAAAATTGTTTCTTGAATTATTTCCACATGATTTTCATGTAGATTCTAAATATGTGCTTAGATTTGAGAAAATAAAAATTCCTCCTTTCAGTTCTCTCTTGACCGAACCAAAGGGGTCCTTTAAACAAAAATTACAACTTTGATTTTTAATGCTTCCAACACTTGTTCTTTAGGTTTATCCTACACCATTTTTCATTTTGAGCACAATGGAAGCATTAAAATATTGAAAAACACATCCTAAGGTCCATTTACTACCTTGGCTGAAATGGTCCATATGATACACAACCAAGAAAACACTTCAAAAATCAACCCACAACCACTTGTAACTACTAGGATCTATCATGCTTTGAAGTGTTCTGGCAAGTGTGATTAACAAAACTTCTTTCCCTACCATATATACATTTCTTCCAGCACCCAAAGAAGAGAGAAAATAGAAATTTTCAACCATACAAAGAAAGAAAACAAGGCAAGGATCCATTTAGAATCAAGAACTAACATTGAATCCTTGGTTG